AAATAATAGGCGCCTGGTATGCTTTAACAACTCACTCTTGCTGCCTTGTCGCACTTTTTGGGTACTCCAAGACCATAAAAGTACATCTCCCCGAGACGATAAACTGCTTGAAAGTTCTGCTTCTGAGCAGCATCATTGAAGAACTGCAGCGCGCGAGTGTGGAGTTTCGGATCATCTAAGATATCATAAATTCAAGCATCATTAGCACTCTTCCCTCGGGCTTTCCTGATCCATAGCCATCAACATGATGAGCCGCTCAACTATGATAAACGAACCCTCCACTTACTGAGATAAAACAAGCCCATATTGACTTGGGCATCTGGATACTTATGGTCCGCCGCTTTCTTGAAATACTCGAACGCTCTAGTATGGTCTACTGGGAGTCCCGCAGCACCTCTGATGTACATGGTACCCAACGCATTAAGTGCCACAGGATTATCCTAGAGTCAGCAGAAACAGAAAGGCAGTAATGTTAGATAGTTGAAGAAAAGACAAACCCGTATCGTTTTTAGGCAGATTCAAATCCATAATCGACGTACCAAGAGTGCGCCCTTCTGGAACCACTTGAGCGCCTGCTCTTCGTCAACTTCGTAGCCTTCGCCACGCCAATACATCTTTCCCAACAATGCTGCCGTGATGCCTGCATCCTCAGCCTCGAGGGGTCTCTGCTCCCTGGCTTCCAAAATCGCCTCCTTTGTGCTCGTCTTTGCATTGAAGAAAGCATCTGCCACCTGCCGAAGGTAATTTCCAGCCTTTTGATAATCCCGTGGAATAGTTGTCGTAGATCCCGCATTGCCCGTGTAATACAGGAAACCAAGCTTGAACTAGGATGCAATAAAATAAAGATGAATATCAGTCAGGTGCCGCGCCTCCTTTGATAAACCGATTCGATGGTGTAGAGCAATGTTCTCTTGATGTATATCATACCCGCGCAGCTCTGGCCTGAGGACTGTCACGATCGGCAATATACCGATGGAATTCCATAAAATCTTTGATGTCGCTAGCGAGTGCATTTGGTGATGGGGTTCCTGGTCCGCTGGCACCAGCCCCATATGTCCCGCCCTCTGCGTCTGTTAATCGAACCTTGATTGGTGGCATGGTGCGTCCCAGAGGTGGCCCGTTGAGATACATTTCATGGGCTATATCATAGATACAGACAGGAAGTAGATGCAGACCTTACTGTTAGCAGAAAATTCCTCCCCCCCCCAAAAAATAAAAAATAAAAATAAAATAGTATTCACAAATGTGGCATGGGTTTGATGCTCGTACCTTTGTCCGCTGCCCGTTTGTAATACATCACTGAATCCTGGCAACTTTTCTTGGTTCCGATTCCCAGCATATATTTGTATCCGAGAGTCAGCTCTGCAGCCGTGTTGTTGCCCCAGGCAGCAAATGTGGTATAAAGAACGGCCTTTGCTTCGTCTCTCTGCACCACATTTCCAAGTCCAGTCGAGTACATGAATCCGAGCATCTGTTGAGCCGACGCATTTCCAGATCTATCCGCTAAAGTGGCGTACATGTCGAATGCCTGTGCCAGATCGCGCTTTGCCTTATATTGACCATGCTAATAATTCAAATTGTCAGAATATGATGGCCGTCAATATACCAATATACCACCGTGAGGATGCAAAAGTTACATTTGATCTGCAGCCTAAAAAGAAATGGCGCGCTTACAAAGTGGATGTTGGCCAACGTCCAGAGAGCGTCGTCATTATCATACTCGTATCCTGCCGATCGGAGCATATCTATCGCTTTTGCAATCATTGGGTCCCGGTGTCGTTTAACGGGCGCCTTGGTTGACTCCTGCCTATTCCCGCCTTCCTTTCCTGAAGATGATGTCGAGGCTGGGGTGGTAGCGGGATTAGACTTGAAAAATGACATGACACCCTGAGTGACCAGCCTGAGGGCGGTGGGCAAGATTCCTTTTTGCTTCTGCAGCTCATCAGATAGAAAGCTCTTCGCCAGCGATGACTGCTGCTTTACGAACACGCGTTGGTTAGTTTTAATGGGAGACGCCTCCAACAGCTGAATGGCGTCCTGATACAGTCTCTTGCCTACATTTTTTTTTCATAGATATGTCAGATTCTCTGGAATAATCCGTGGCATCATAATACGCAGAGTATGCATTGGTTCTACTGTCGTACCATGGTCAACCTTGTCTTGAGCATTGGCAGCGTCCTGGAATTTTTCTACTCCCAAGGCGAGTTCATCAGCTTTTGTACTGTCCAAGTGTGCGTCCGCACTAGCGAACAGAGCGACAGCCAGCAGAACTAGAGCAGCATAAGAGTTGTAGAAGCATTGTCAGTTTATTTAGCGCGTGGGGTTGTGCAGCTGAAGGCGCGCCTGTGTTGGACAGGATAACAGGTCGGTCGAGGTAATATGGAGTCGTTGATACCTGTACAGCCAAGAAGGGCACGTTTCCGTGCGGACTTTCGTGCCATCAACCCCAACAGTCGATTGTATCTGTTCGGGCAAATTCGATGCGAATGAGAGGCCCTACAAGCGTGTGTGAGTGCGGGTAAGAGGGCGAGGGTGTGTGTATGTGTGTTTGAATTGATTCGCTGTTGGGGTCAACGTGTGTGGTGAGATGCGTGAGGATGAGAAAGTGGGCTGTTTAAGGGAATGTATGTCGTCAGTTGTGGAGATGGAGCATGGTGTTGGCACGAATTCGTTGGGCAAAAAAAAAAAAAAAGTGACTGTGTCAGGATATCTTTGGGCATCTGTCGGAGCCAGACAGGTAAGCAAGCAAGTAAGCAAGCAAGTAAGCAAGCAAGTAAGCAAGCAAGTAAGCAACCAAACAGGCAGCCAAACATCCAAAGCACCCAAACAAATGGACGATACGAACATGCGAATAAGTTGTAGTGTACATTGTTTTTTTTTATGATAATGAATGAATGGATGAATATGATTTGCCCCGTGTGCTGCAGCCGATAAAAATACATGTCCAGATACCATCGCCACCAACATGCTGTATCCCATGGTGCCTTGGCCCCGTTCCTCCCTCTCTCTCTCTCTCTCCTCTCACCCATCGACCAAAGGAAACAAAAAATATGAATCTCCTGCGCCGTCTAATCCTCCAGGCAACCTCACTCGCACAACGACCATCCAATAAATCCCTCGGCCTCGATCTCGTCCTTGACGCCACCATGGACCGCGTACACCTCGATTCCCTCCATTTGTACAGGTGCTTCTGCCCCATCGCCAGGGTTGACAGTCGACACAATCTCTGCAACCTCCACATCAGCAAGAGAAGGCTCCGCAGGTCCTACAAGAGCAGACACAACCTGAGCAACGATGTTCAGATCCATATCATGAACCGTTTCAGTCGCCGGAGCAGGCAGAAGTAGCCCATCCGCAACAGTACCCTGAAGGAGACCGTTGTTGCCGTCGATTTTCTCGCTGTCGCTGTAGACACTTTTGGGATTGCCACTGCCGCTGAGATTGCTGCTAATGTTACCTGGATTGTTGTTGCCACTGTTGCTGCCATTGATGTTGCCATTGCCTCCGTTGACCTCCTTAACGTCTGAAAACTCTGGCCAGGTCACATTGTTGAACAAGGGCCCTTGATGATAGTCGAGAATGTACTCGCCATCACAGCTGTCAAACCCATAATTGATCACCGAAGGATCCATGAGCAGCTTGATTTTCTCACCCTCCGCTCGGCAACGCTCCTCTCCTTCGCTACCATAGCCATCATCACCCATCTCGTCATTGCCCCCTTCATGGAGCTCATCCCTAAGGCTCCAGCGACCCCTTCCTCCCTGGGTTTTCCTTGCCCTGATACGCATCAATCGGTAGTTCTCCTGTTCGTCCCGCAAAAAATCAAAGTCCGAGTCCGACCAATCGTCATCCGAGGCAACCATGATCTCTCGCTTGCCATCTCGACGCCGCCGCTCCAAAATCTCCTCTCGGCTGGGAATGTGGTGGCTGCTGTGTCTCTTGTTGATGAGCGGTCTAGAGCGGCCACTGCCTTCTCGTCGCTGTTTCTTCGAGTTCATGAGGGTAAAGTCTTGGCTTCTGCGCTTTGCATGACTCAAGGCGCTCAATGGGATAGTGGCCGGCTGCGTGCTGTCCTTTGGATTGGTTCGGTGCGACAACTCTCCAAGATCCGACATCGATCTGGAACGGCCAGGGCCTCCCTGCTGCTGCTGTTCCTGCTGTTGCTGTTGCTGTTGCTGTTGCTGCCTCGCTGTCACGAATTCGTGATCTCCTTCTGCAGAGGAAGCCCGCTTGGCATGGTTGCTGCCAGAAAGCTGGCATTCGGACTTGGTCCGCTTTCCTTCTTTCTTCTCGCGCGAAGAGGCCTCAGGCACGGAGGACGAGGCCAACGACTGAGACTGAGGGGTTCGCTCCTGTCGTTTACCGCATGGCGCCGCCTTGAAGTCTTCAGAAGATACGAATTCTGCCAGATTTTGAGGAGGTCGTCGAACACGCTGGGTGGTGACCACACCTGGAATAGAAGCCAGATCGAGATCTTGATTGGTCTTCCGCCCAATAGGAGGAAGAGCTGAAACAGATGTGGCCTCAAACTGCTTGCTGTCTGTAGTAACCACACTGGACTCGCTCCCTCCTGAGGTCATATCAGTGGCATCATTGGTCACTGCAGAAACTACCGAAACATGAGCAATCTTCTCAGTCTTTACAGATCCAGCTCTCTTTCTCGGTGGTGCAGCAATAGGGCTCACCTCACGCTCATGTGCGTGAGGGGCGGGCGATGCTGGAGGGGTCGACAGGGGTGCGACTGTCAAAGACGACTGCCGAGCATGGCCAATTAGCTCTTCAGCCTCTTTAGGACGTGGAGGACGACGGGCACGACCACTGCGACGCGGGCTCTTGAGGTCCTCGGCATCCTCCGAAGCCGCAGGAGAGGGAGCGGACTCTAAGAACGAAATGGTGTTTGAGGAGACGGGTCCCATTGATGATGAAATGGTCATGCAGTCCAGCTTGGGGAGAAACGCGCCCTTAGACCGAACGGTAGCAGCAGTAAGTGAAGTAGCGGGATCGGCTGAGAGTGAGTCGGCCTTTAATCCGCTCCTGTTTCTGCAGGGAGCCTGCTGACACAGGTTCTTTGCATTCTCGCGTGAAGCCATGATGCAGACGCTGTCAGGCTCGCCTTGGGTCCGATCCACCTTTGTGTTCAGAGACAAGCTGTGGATCGAGTTCTGATATATATATAAAAAAAAAAGATGTGTTAGCATAATTGGTCCAATAGGAGGGGTCAAGCGAGTACTAGTCTTGTATATGTCATGTCTAGGCCGCATAAAATACAAATGAATAACAATCAATAACAATAGTAATGATATCAATGGCAGCTTACCTGCCATCCACCGTCAGAGCGCTCTTGCACCAATTCTGAAGGAAACTGTGGAGAAGAGGAAGAGTAAAGGAAAGGGTGCTTTTCGTCACTGGAGTCGGATTCGGTATCCGAATCGTGATCCCGGTCGTCTAAGTGTTTACGCTGTTGCGGTTGCTGTTGTTGCTGTCCGTGCTGCTGCTGTTGCTTGAAGGAAGCCCCGACCTCTTTCTTGAGCCGGTGAAGACTGCCGGTGCTCAGGGTCCTCCTCGAGCGAGTGGGACGAGCTGTTGATTCTAGGTCGTGTGCAGGCGGTGGGCTATCAATGCTCTTGTCTGTGTCTCTGTCGAGGACGATGGGCATGTTTGGCACCTGTGCGCTGCTGTGTTCTTTTGAATGGCTGTTGGCAGACGTTACTTGCTTACTAAGGAAACACCAAGTTGAAAGATAACGGGTCAGAGAAAGGAAAAAAAAAATGCTGACACGGGAGGGGTGTGAGATGTGGGTGCGTGGGTGTTTTGTTGAGAAAGATATTCCGCTTCCAGACCTGGAGGACAGGAGGAACAAGAAGGAAGGGGAGAGTAGGGCAAACAGAGATAATAAGCGTAGAAATGGTGCTGATGGCGCTGTAAATAGGACTGAGAATGCCAAGTGCGCTTACAGGCGAAAAGAAGCTACCCTGGGGATGTCCAACAGAGGAAAAGGAGGTGATGAAGGGTGAAAATGAAGGCAAAGACAAAGACAAAGGTGAAGTGACCAAAAGGGTGAGAGAGCTAAGCGCGCGAAGTGAACGTAACGTTGAAGAGGAAGGAAGGATAACGGATAGCGGCTTCTTGTTTTATGAGAACGCCTTTGAAATGTCGGGGCTAGGGATTGACAAATGATACGTGATAATATACTAATATATCAGAGCGAGTGAGTGAGAGACACGCCGAGCAGCACGCAGGGGGAGGGGGAAACAATAGAAAGACGTAGACCCAACTCACTCTTCTATACTATAAGTAAAATAAGATGATATGCGATTTCCCAGTGGTTAGGTCAGTGGGAGTGGGGTCGGGGCTGGTCGGTGTATGGATAAATAGTATGGGTATGCTGTATGAATATGCCGTATGGAAATGTCGAGAAGAGTGGGAAGTGGGATCAGCAGAAAGATGAGGATGGAATGGGAGGGTGATGATTGAGAGTAGACATAAAGGGAGGGGGAAGAGGAGGGGGAGGGGGTGGGGAGGGGAGGAGGAGAGGCGTACAGCAGCAGCTACAGAGAAAGGAAGCCATCTCAGCCGCGTGTCGTCTAAAGATCTGGGTTACATGACGATGATAGGGGCAAGTAGTTCAGTTCTCAGGGTGCGAAGTAGACTTCAATTGGCACTGTTCGGAACGAAGACGGACAAAGGCCAAATCACCCCTGCCCCCATCCCCAGACTGGACTCCCACCAACAACGCGTGCGGTAGACTGTCTTGCTGGTCTGGGGGATGATTCTCGCTGAAAATACAACTGTGGTAAACCTTATTCTGTTTTCTTTTCTTTTTTTGCGCGGCTCTTTAACATCTATTGTCACCATCATCAACATAGACTTGCTCGTCAACAGCAACAAAGGTTCTCAAGAGTGCTCAGCAATAGAGGGGAACACCATGCAAAGGCCATCCGCAAACTACGCTCCAATTAGACTCTTCAAAGAACAGGCTATTAGTGCCTTGTCGTTCTGAACATGAACAGCCCTGTATAGCAACATCTCTTCGGCCCTACTATATCCATGAACATGTGCGATACAGGGACCAGATTGATGTTTGCATAGTTCTTACCGCTAAGATTTAGTCGCCATAAACCTCATATCCTATCTACATAATGATCCAGCAACATTGTTCATCCTTCTTCTGCTCTGTTTCGTCATAGTTGAGCACCTCCAGCGGTGCTACAAACCTCGGACTTTTCCCATCCCCTGTGACTCCCGAGGACAAACGCGTAGAGTTCATTTTGACATTCTTGCAGGTCTACAAATCTGTCCCCCCAATAGACGCGTCATTACAATCTTTCGGATGAGTTCGTACACCATCCCGTAGATGCTGTACCCAGTTTTTGCAGGATCAGCACTGACGCATTCTCGAGTATTTAGAAAGAGTGAAACGGCAGCTAGTCTCAATGTAGTATATATTCAAGGGATCTGCGAATTCCTGACTAACTCCAATCACGACCTGGCGTTGGCCTCTTAGCTCGCATTTGTAACTGCAAGCACAATGGGAACCCATCCTCGTAATAATAGAAACAGCTTAGTCTCCGAGAGAGACTAAAGGGATAACAAAAGCAATTAAACAAGAGAAGTTCTTTGTCAGTTTTTTAGAAACGCACGAAACAAAAGTATGTCAGTACATATGTTTGTATTTGAGGCTACATCCTAGTGTCAGCCGTTTCCTTGACGTCGATGGATCATCAAAATGCTTCGCCTCAGGAGCTGGTCATTCCACCGGCCTCTGTACTCATGCTGACGCGCAGTTTCAATGATGTCCAAGATATACTCCTCCCCGTCAACCTCGATGTATTCGCAACAAGAGTCCTTCACAGTAACATCGTATCTTGAGCCATACAAAAAGATCGTAGACGAATACGTAGTAAAATACGATGATGTGGGGACGGAGCGACACCATCAGTGTTAAATAGACTAGTACACATTTACTTGCTGTGGAACTTATGGTTGTACAGGCAAGCATTTTAGTCTAGATTCACAAACGTCGTTTGTCATAGGGTTTAGTGAGAGGGTTAAGTCAGGTTCGCACTCACTGGCCATGAAGAAACTAAAAAACCATGACGGACGCTCCGACTCTATCGCCGACAACGGCGACTGAGGATTTGAAGATCAATCGTTATTTTGTTAATTTGGGCGACTTCAACAACCCCCTCTAGGGCTCGATTCATTTCAGGTGTAAATGAGGAGACAGAAATATCTTTTTTTGGCTGCGATGTCAAAGAAGGGAAAGGATAAAATGGAGAAGAGTTCGGCGCAAGTCGAACACAAGAGACACTGCGCTGTGCTGAGCTCAGTTAGGTTGCGTGAGTTTTTTTATGCGAGAAATGGCTGAATGAACAAAGCGATGTATGGTTGTATGTATAATATCATCTTGTTCGGTCCAATCAAGTGTCCATCGAAGCAGCATCCCATGGAGCCAAACCCCATACTAGTTACTCTCCCCTCCCCTCCCTCCCCCCCTCTGCCGTACAGGAAACCTCCTTTCTCTTACGTGTTTCTCGCGAGGGCAATATGCAGCTCCTTGTTGCAAAAACACAAAGCATAGTTTGCTAAAGCGACTGAGAGTTATGGATACCTTTTTTTTGGCATATTACTCCTCATGCCGAATCCCGATAGTGTCTGGGATCTAGACTATAATTTGCTCGGCAGCTTAAGTTTAGACCACACACGGCGCCAGTAACCGCTGGCTTTGGTTGCTCCTAGAAGCTGTGATTTAGAGACGTAACTTGAAACGATCCGCGTCGAGGATGGTAATGGCTGCTCAAGATCTTGGTACTGGTCCCCTTGTGGCTGAATGAAAGAGGCCTTTTGGCCTGCCAGGGATCGTTCTTGTTCTTGCTGGTCTTGTCCTGATCCTTGCTCTCGTCTCCTTTTTGAAATAGTTGTCTTCCCCGTAAATAAACGCGCCATGCGGCTACGTGGATTCTTCTTCGCTGTTACTGACGTGGTCATTTCCTCTCTCCTTGGGCTCAAAGAACCCTTATTCACATCAACTTCCTGATGATATAGCTGTTCCTGTTGCCTTTCATGCGTCGGCAACCTTGAATGGCTCCAACTCTGACCACTTTTCCTTCCAGTCATTTTCTCCTTTTTTGCGGCCTGTTTCTTGGTCTTCTTCTTTTCCAACGTCTCTCTCGCCTTTTGGTCCCGTTTTTGTTGCCTTTTCAGATTCCACGCTCGTTTGTATTCCTGATATTCGCGTTCGTCCGCCTCGTCTTCTGAGTTGGGCTGACCAAGTCCTTCCACTACCTCAGCGAGATGACAGCTGTTAAATCTCGATAGCGGCGCACTTGTAGATGATATACCATTGTGTTCCTGGTGTACGTGCGAAGGAGTGAGAGTATGCGTTGCTGCTGTCGTAGTAGTGGCGTTATGGAGGACCAGAGGCTGCCTATAAAACACTGTATTCCGGCCCTTGAGGACCGACGACGGGATATATGAATCAATGACGGATACAAATCCCCTTGTTCCTGCATGCGTCAAATGCAAATGATGTTGGTGGAGAAGGTGAGTAAAGGAAAGTAAGTAGGAGAGAAAGGGATAGGCAAAAACATGAGAAGCGCATAGCAGGTACCTTGCGAGACTTACTGGGGAGAAGGAAGCGGGGTCTGGAGAGAGTGGGTTACGGTATGTAGAACGTGAGCAGCGATGTTGACCGCGAACAAGTCGACGGGAGTTGTCGAGCTGGTGGTGTCAATGTTAAATAAAATAGAGTGCTCGTTTCGGGCGCGAAGTAGCTAATGTGCCGCCAAGGAATGCGGTCGAGAGAACAGCGTGTTCGACGGTCTGCGACAGATGAGAAGAAACGGAGTGGGCGACAACGAGGAAGGAAAGCGACGAATGAATGCAAAGATTCAACCAGTTCAAGATGCGCGAGAGGCGCTTTTGTATGCTGCTCTTTTTATTTGTTTCCTGCAAGTGTGTCTCCTGGATGCCGGCCACCTACTCCCTCCTTTTCTTATTTTGATAATCCCGACTCCATGCGTGCTGAAACTCGTATAGATGCCCGAAAATAACACGCGCCAGTCCAGTATGTCTCCTGCCATTAAACCACCAATGTCGAGAGACAAACAAAAAAAAAAAGGCGTTTGCTAGAGATAACATCCAAAAAAAAAAAAAAAAAAAAATTGGGTCGCAAAGATTTCAGGACATTCTAACTTCAGCACCGTTATTTCAGGATGGCAGGTCCACGTTGCGATGAACGCCATGTGCTCTAAAGTTACTCGAGCTTATGGCTACAAAGCATGCACGTCCCCTGAGGATCCACATGCTTGGAAATCCATAATAGTATAGGCCTTGTTCCAGTTCCTGCCTGGCCTGCAAGCTCAAGGCATGCAAATCCCTCCCGAACGCCGTTCACACCGTTGACCATAAACTAGGGTGCACACATGGTTGTGCATGTGTCCCTTCGCTTGCGCAAAAACATATACACATGCCCGCATGTTTGCGTACGCGTTTCCTTGTCTACAAAACCTAGGATAAACTTTATTTGGACTCGCACATTTATGTCTACAAGTACACGGCAAAAAATTACACCCTAGAACGCTTGCTTGCACGCTTCTGCTCCTCCTTCCCCTTGGAGTGCCCCTCGCGCTTCCGTGGCGCATCTCCGTTCAGAAGAGGTGCAGTTGGGTCTGCTGTGGATGTGACGGCGTGCGCCTCAGGATCGTCCTTGTTGCAGATGCCATGGACGCTGATACCCTCGATCCAAGGCTTTAGCAGATCCATCTTCAACTTCTGTCTCATGCCTCCCTCGCCGCCTCCCTTCAAATCGTCATCAATCGAGATCTGTACCATGACTTTCTGAAACAGTTGGATTTGGACCTTAGGTGCCTGACCCTCGTCCAAGGGTTCGGTTGATTGCAAGGAATCTGTCTCAGTGTTATAGACCAAAATTGGCTGAGCCGCTGGGGCTCCTTCAGTCGATGCGTTCTTGGGAACCTTGGCGCTCGCATAGACAATGCCCTCAATACCATACTTTGGCACAAGGACAATGAATGCGTTCTTGAGAATACGAATAACATAGCCCTCCTCTTCCTCGACCTTGTTCTTAAAGAATAAGTGCGTGAACAACTCTACGGAGCTGCGAGCCGCCTGCTGAGCCATACGGTTTCGGTGATTCAGGACTATAAATGAAGCACATTGTTATTAGCAACACTCTTAGCATATTGCGCTCGCGAACATTATGGAGAGATGAAAATAATAAAATAAAAAGGAGTGGACATACCTCCACACAGTTCGTTCATGGCCTCCTTGTCGGTCAACTCGCCTCCGTATGAAATACTGGGGTCAATGGCAGCATGCAATTGACGATGCACCATAACGTCTATAGTAACGCAAGAAGAGCACCAGTTTTAGCATCACTCCACGGTACAAACCAAAGTGAGATTCAAGAGTTAAGAAAGGGAACAAAAGAGGTTTACCGGAATAACGACGGATGGGGGAGGTGAAGTGCGTGTAAATATCCGTGGCAAGACCGTAATGCTTAAATTCTGGTACCGTCAGCGATCCTGAACAAAAGTACAATGCCTGCATCATGCATCGTGTCGTCATGATGCGAAGCAACTTGTTGAAGTAAGGCTCCTCTGGGATCACAGCGTTGTCCAACGACTCAGACAGGGTCTTCGAAGTAGAGTGATCGATAGTGATGCCCATTCTAGCGACAGCCTTCTCCAGCTTCTCAAAGTTGGTGGCGGGCGGCGTTGGATGGCAGCGCAGCATAGCAGAGTCTGGGAACTTTTCGTAGATCTTGCGCGCCACAGAGATGTTCGCCAACAACATGAACTCCTCCACCAATGCGTTCGTTTCCTTCAGTTCCTTCATCTCAACATCGACCGGGTCCTGGGTATCACGCTCTAAGTTAAACCGTACTTCAGGACTGGCCAGGGTCAGGGCACCCATGTCCAGACGCCGCTGCTTCAGCTTTTTGGCCAGTTGGTTCAGAGTCCTGATGCCCTTGGTAATATCATCCTGCATACGCTCGTCGTCAATCCGGTTCTGGGCCTCCTCGTAGGTAAGCGATGCCTTGGAAGCGATGACACTCTTTGTGAACCGAACATTGACGATCTCGGCATTCTCGTTCAACTCCCAAATGCAGGAGAACGAAAGACGCTCGACATTCGACCGCAGTGAGCACAAATTCGTGCCCAAAAGACCGGGCAACATGTCAATTCTCTTGTCCACAAGATAAACAGTCGTTCCACGGCTGGCCGCCTCCTGATCCATAACATTGCCAGGTTTGACAAAGTGGGTGACATCGGCAATGTGAACGCCGACCTCATAATTGCCGTTGGGAAGTGACGAAACGTGAAGGGCATCATCGATATCCGTGCATCCTGGAGGATCGATACTGCAAACGTTCAGCGAACGGAAGTCCTCGCGCCCGTTAAAGTGCTCTGGTTTGACAACCCAGTTCTCTCCTTCGACTGGGAGCAGGCTAAGCACTTGCTTTGAGAATTCATGGAACGGAACGTCGTGCTCCAACAACAACACCTCTGTCTCTGTCGATTTGTCGCCAGCGTCACCCAGTGAACGGATGAAATGTCCGATGGGGTAGCGAGATGTCTTTGGCCAAGAATCGATCGAGACAATGATGCGTTGTCCCAGAAGAGAGTGAGCCTGGCGAGTTCTAATCTTGATCTTGGGAATCTTGGTTTCCATGGCATAGAACAAAACATTGATGGGGGCGCTGGATCCTGCAGGCGTGTGAACGGACTTGCGGTCGATGAATCCACAGTACTGTCTCCAGTTACGACGAATGACACCAACAACCTTTCCACAGGGCTGGGGCGTGTCCGTCTTTGTTCCATCAGATGATACAGATGCGTCCGTCATAGTGGCGTCCTCGTTAGAAGCAGCGGCCGTTTGCTCCGCCTTCAAGCTTTCCTCCTCTTCCTTTTCCTCTTCCTCGTCAATCACAACGCCTGTTGGGGTCGTGCGCCATTCGGATTTGGGCAAAAGTTCGACTGCAATGATGTCTCCATCGACAGCACGGTTCAGATTTTCGCGCCCGACGATAAGAATAGTACCCTCGACTCCATCAATTTTGGTGTAGATAGATCCCTATAGGATGTCGGAAGCCACAGAATGAGTGAGTTATTATTATCGGGAGGAATGGCAAATAAACACATCGGACATGCGGTCAGAGTGATGCGAATATGTACCTCCAGGTAGTTATGGCTGCTGATACCCAGCTTTCCTTGGTAATATTTTCCACTCTTGATTCCGCCGGACAAATGTGTCGGTGATAGGTGTTCGGCGTAGATCATCTGCTGTCCGTCATCCAGTTCCTTTGCGTCTGAGATCATATCTAGGAGCTCCGTGTTATCCAGCGCCTCGATATATCGCTTCACTGCATGAGAATAGTTCGTCGATAATATTAGTGCCTATTCATGATAGATTATCCTCCTCTTTACATATTGCCACACGCACCTGAAACAGCCTGGAGGCCATCCGCAATCGCCTTGGACCTGTTTGCCGCGTCGTCCGTCATCATAACGACCGAGACCTTGGGTTTGAGGTTCTGGATATGATTTCCATACCATTTTGTGGCGACGCGAATGGCACGGTCATTGCGGTCATTTGGCGATTCATCTTTGAGTTTCTCAATAAATGTCTCTCTGTGATGCTCATTCGAAAAGACATAAAAGTGCTTCTCCTTGTTGCTGATCATATCGCGAACCCGCTTGTGGATTGGTAACGAAAGATGCTTGACCTCCTCAAGAACTGTCTGCAGAACAATGACATTGTTGATTTGAGATTTTTCCATCACATCGATCTATGAAGGAAGACAGGGTTGAATACAAGAGAATATTGGTGGTTAGGGTATTGGCGATATAGCAGCGCTGCGCGCCATAGAACCTTGCACCGCGTCGATGCGAACACACGTCTTTCGTGTTTTACCTGGTTCATGAAGATGTTAGTGTCGGGGATGATGTAGTGGGGTAGGGGAAACAGCTTGTTGGTACTGGGTGTTGCACTGAGGATCGACTCAGTATGTTCACATTCCTTGCAGGCCTCGGCGGAGCACCAGATGTCATCGCGCAGGTAGTGTTCCTTGACGACCTTAAGTACTTTGCCGGACTTTGTCTTCTTCACGAACTGCTTTTGTCTAAGCATGTCGGCAAGTGATGTTTATGTGTGTGTGTGTGTGTGTGTGTGTGTTCTGTGATGTTGGTCTTTGTTGAATGAAGCTGGAGAAGCGGGAATGCCGAGCTAGAAACAGAAAGAATGGTGGTCGCTGACAAATGGTCCCGGGACGCTGTTTGGAAGAAGTGTTTGAGACATGCTTCTTTTTTTTTTTTTTTTTGGTGCTTAGCCCTTTTATAGTGGCTGGTTGTTTATTGTTTCGTAAATGAATGCTTACTTTCAATTACAAAGGGTCGATTTGTTCCTGAACATTTGAATAAGGTTACAGTGTGTTCACTTTGCTCCCCACACTTTGCTTTCCTCTCCCTCCCTCACTCTTCTCTGCGCTCCTCATTCACCAAAACGCGCCATCATGCCTTCCCAAATCGAGCACCAGCTCAAGGCACAACTAGAGTCTCGCAAGGCCAGATCCCTTCTGCGATCCCTCGTTGTCATCCCAGAGTCCTCGGCTGACTTTTCCTCCAACGACTTCCTGGGACTCGCACGCAATCCCGCCCTCGGTTCCCACTTCCTCAAAGAACTCGCTTCCTTCCCCAAACATACCCCTCCACTCGGATCCACAGGAAGCCGTCTTTTAGATGGCAACTCACGATATGCTGAGGATCTCGAGACCCTTATTGCCGATTTTCATCATGCAGAGGCGGCCCTGATCTTCAACTCGGGCTTTGATGCCAACGTCGGCTTCTTCAGCAGCGTTCCCCAGCCTGGCGATGTGATCCTGTACGACGAGTATATTCATGCCAGTGTCCACGATGGCATGAAGGTGACTCGCGCAGGCGTTAAGAAGGCCTTCTTACACAATGATCTGGACCATCTCGCCCAATTGCTCCAGGCTGTGCGACGCGAGGACCGCGAGAGATATGATCTGTCAGGATCGAGCATGGGCCGCAATATCTTTGTTGCAGTAGAGAGTGTCTACTCCATGGATGGTGATACAGCTCCTCTGAGGGATATCGTAGATCTATTGGAGTCCCATGGTGCGCATCTCATCGTTGACGAGGTAGGATAACTCCCCAGTACTACTTTTACCTCCACTTTCATTTCCACGTAATTTTTCTCACAATATTTGTGGGGTTGATTGCCCAATTGAAGATCTAAAAAGAGTCACTCACAGTCAATTTGACAATCCGATTCTAGGCCCATGCAACAGGGGTGTACGGAGTGAACGGAAGAGGACTTGTTAACGAGCTGGGACTAGAGCACAGGGTATTTGCCAGACTTCATACCTTCAGCAAAGCTCTCGCCAGCAACGGAGGTAAGATCTATTCGCTGCTTTTGTCTGCAACGGTGTCTATGAGTCAAGCTTTGGTCCGACCCAAAGTTTCCGATGACCGGTGCTCGATCCGATTCGAGCGGATATGCAACCCGCCATGACTTGAGGCAAACAGTTGATGGCATCGAGCATAGACCCGCGACGATAAGGATACAACATGAGCTCGTAGACTTGTGGACTCATCACCTTGAAATAATACCTCTGCCACTCCTTATAGCTGCACTGGTCGGACCTAAGGTTCTCAAGGAGTACCTGATCAACTACGCGCGGCCATTGATCTACTCAACATTCACGTCGTTCAGTAATCTGGCTAGCGTTAAATCCGCATATCAAATGTTAATTGCAGGGGAAACTGTTGTGGTATGGCATGGCATGGCATGACGTTTCCTTCGCGTTTTTTTTTTTGCTGGAGTGTGCATGCAGCTAGGACTAATACTAACCTAAAACATTACACTCGACAAAACGTGCTCCCTATAATTCATATACACCCACTCCCTCTTTGCCTCAAATCGTAGCTCGTGGAAAAGATCCGGGGGTTGATTCATTACTTTCGATCCAATATCCAGATCCCTGAGCACATGCTCCTCCCCTCCACATCTCCTATCCAGGGTATCGTCATGGAGGGGAACGCAAGAGTCAATGCACTTTCACAGCAGTTGATCAAGGCGGGCCTAAACGTCAAACCTATCCGGTTCCCGACCGTGCCCAAGGGCAAGGAGCGCGTCCGCATCTGTCTCCATAGCCATAACACACAAGAGCAGGTCGACCAGCTGATCCGGATTGTGCAAGCATGGTTGCGCCATGAGAAACAGTCTACAGCAACGGCGCCAATACCAGCCAACCCTGCCTCCTCAGAGTTGTCCACAACCCCCACAGCATCAACCCTGTCATCGCCATCACCATCGCCATCGTCGTCGTCCTCAATATTGTCAACACTTTCAGTTTCTACGCTTTCTGCAATCCCAGCCAAATTGTAAAAAGAAAAACCACTTGCATCAATTCCATAAATAAAGGGCGTGTATCATTGAATAGCTATAGTACAATAAGCATGCGTGTAAAAGTGAATGATATGAAAGTAGACTATGTACAGGCATCAATAGGCTACGGTCTTTTGTAAGACGCGCTCCCAACTTGATAGCTATTCCTGCTCGACAGCCTGGACGAGCCACCAGGGCTTGTTCCAGAATAAGGCGGCGGTGGGGAGATGGGCGAAATGGGAGAGACTGGAATCGTGGGAGAAAGAGGCGAAACGGGCGGTGGGATCAAAGTGCTGCTTCTAGTACTAGTTCTCGTTAAGAGCTGTGGAGGCGATGTTGTCAAGGCAGTCGGTGATAGTGTAGACTGGCCACCGACACTCGGTGCCCTAGGCAGACGCGAAGGCAGTTCGCCATCTTGAAACCGTTCCAGTGTCGGGAATGATGATGGGGACGAGAGGACCGAGTTGTATGAAAACGTTGATGGGGCAGACGACTGCGATCGAGGCGCTGAAGACGCAATTGATGAAGACAAGGATAAATGTTTGCTCGAACTGGGAGAGGAAAGCCCTGGAGCCGAGTGATCTAAAAATGTTGTCGTAACCTTGGGAAGGACGATCCTTTCACGACTACTGCCACTGCCACTCGCCCGAGTGAATACTGGTGAAGACTGGCGGGGTTGAGTGCTGCTCAGTGTACGCTCGCGCTCCCGTTCCCGCATCCGTTCCATCTTTGGCTTGGTCTGGTAAGGAAGCTCCCCTGCTCTTGTTCCTGCTCCTGCTCCTGCTCCTGTCCCATCTAGATGCCGTCTCCTCCGCCTTACCAGCACAAACATGAGCACTGCTCCTCCAACAACGGCAAGCACTATAAGCGCAACGGCCCACATTGGAAACGAGGATATGCCGTCCGTCCCTTCTGTTTGCCCTCTGTTTCCGTGGCCACTCACGAATTCTTCGCCCATACCTGATTTTGGTGGCAAACAGACGGCACCAACGCGTCTCTTGCTCGAACGGACTGCGTACTCAGGATACCGCCGTTTTCGATGTGATGCAAGCCCTCCGGCGGATTTTGATGACTCGCTTTCCAGATTGTCGCAGTGTAGTGAGATGCATTCGAAGTACGAGCTACATGAATGATAGTTAGGCAGCTGCTCTTTACAGATTCCTCGTCGCTGAGTGGGTTCCTGCATTGATGATTGTGAGAAATCACAGTAAGCGCCTGCCTCACAGTCCCCACGTAGGGACAACACATCCGGTCCAGCGCCTAATCCTGGACTCCCAACAGTTTCGTTCAGGCGTTTGTTCGCCATGGTCACCAAGAAGGTCCAAATGGGGTCTGTCTGCGGTGGTACAGGGATCCCGACGCATGTTTGGCCTAGATCGGCGAGGTCCTGGAGGAGAACAGGTTGGCCATCAACCCCCAAGGGAGGGTTCGTGGAATTATTGTTTCCGTTGGTGCTGTTGTTTGTGGTAGTAGCAATAGACATCCGGGGAATCAGATTGATGTGTACGGAGGTGGTCCCTGAATATCCGTTACTGGCGTTGCTAGGGTCAAGGGTGTACAGAAATCCTCGGGTTGTTGAAAGGGGAGCACAATAGAGACCTGTGGACTGAACAAAGCACCCCATAGCCCCTGTGTCATTGCTGCTGGAGCTGCTACTACCATTGCACTGTGGCGAGGGATTGTCGAGTGTAAGGGGCCCGCAAGTGGGCTGCGTGGTTGGGATAGTCGTGAGATAGCGTGTGGATGCCATAGTGAGATGTACATGTATGAAGCGAAGAGGGCACACACAGAGGCGGGGGCATGGAAGCGTGGCTCTAGGATATCAGGACAGGGGGATGAATTATGAGAATGAATGGGAGTGATGAAATGGATGAATGAGGGGATGGGAGGATGAGGATCAAAAGAAGGATGAGGGTGTCAAATTCTGGGCACTTCAATTGCTCTCAAGAAAGAGAAACTGTGAATCCTCGGTAAAGAGAAAGACGGCAGAGGGGGAATCTCTTTCCCCGTCAAACGTTATTGTAGTACCGATTGCTTTTTTTACTATACTCACTCACTCTCCCTCCTTTGGGACACACAGATAGACTTAGTCTTCTAGGAATGCTGAGAAGGACGCACTCGTCAACGGTGAACAACTCCGCAAACATTCTGATCGTCTATCCTTCTTCTCATGGGGTGGGTAGAGATTTATCTATTACTACAAAGCAAACAAAGAACGAATTTCTATACTACACAGAAGTTGCATGCGAACAACTGGATTTGTTGACGCATAGATTGGTGTAAAAAAAAAGAATAAAATGGTAGTGGATTAATCGTCCTGAGTCAAACCGTCACTACGTATGCGACCCAGACGATGGACTCGCAAATGACGACGCATATTGCTCTGGACAGAGAACTGTCGTCCGCAACCTTCCTCGGAGCACTTGAACGGACGCTCGCCTGTATGCGAATAAGTGTGAATTCTAAGAGAGCTCGGCCGACTAAACCGCTTGCTGCAATACTGACACTGGTACCGACACCCAAGCGGGATCGTCTCCAGTCCTGCAAGGAGTGCTCTCTGACGCGATAGATATGGTCCTCGTCGGTTCGGTGTCTTAGCATTGGATGGGTTATTAGAGTGATTGTCTAAAAGCGTGGACGTCGAGTGCTGCTGCTGCTGATACTGTCCAGGATGGTGCGGCATGTTCGGATGCTGCTGTGAACGAGGCGGATAGGATTGAGGATGATGCGATGCATTTGGAATAAATCCCTGAGGACGCTGTCGGGAATAATTCTGATGCACCAAAGACTCATCATGCGACTGCGAAGGAAGCTGAGAATGGGCGTTAGGGCCTCGGTAACCAGATGGCAGGATGTTTTCTCTCGAATGGAACGGACCATGGCGAGCACTCTCCAGTGATGGATCATAGTCGCTCGGATATGGCTGTCGTGGGTGTTGCTGCTGAGGCCGCATCTGCAAAGACTGCCTATGCTCGCTCTCTTCGTCAAACTCTTCTTCGCCATCGTCCCCTTCTCCCTCGTCTGCGTCCTCAGCCTCTTCCTCGTCGACATCTTCCTCTGGATAGTCCACCATACGTCTCTGTCGCTTCTGTGCTGACTCGAACGTCTGTAGATCTGATTCTGAAACGGAAAGTCGAATGCTGCGACGCTGAGACCCGCTCCAATGGAGTGTCTCCGGTGCAGCCGTTGTCAAAGACGATGACTGAAGCTGCATAGTACTTTTTCCACCTCTCCTTACTTCCACAGTGCTTCTGCGGTCTAGTCCTGAAGCTTCGTCACTCCAGCTTTGGTTGTATCTGTCACCTAAATCACCATGCTTGTCCGAGTCCATATTCTGCCTGCTGCCGAAACTACCCCGCTCTGTATGGAGATATCCCTGCGAACTATGACGTATGTGGCGGCACTCGACCCCGTCTGCAAAGTTTGGTTGGGGCGAGGACGGATAGCTCATTGGGTGGTTCGTGGAAGAAGGATGGGGAGAAGCAGGCCTCCTGGACGAGCGACGACCTTCGTCCTTCATACGAGCGTAGCGCAAGTCGCCATCGCTGGACTGAGAGGGAAATGATCGAGGGGGGTGTGCGGGGGTATAGTAGGGATGCGAAGGACCTGGCGACGAGATCCGTTCTGATCGTGTAGGTAATCCTTGCTGCTGAAAGCCAGGCTGTCTAGGCAAGGGTGCCTCCAGAGAAGCAGAGGGTACACCGTCCGCCGTGGCGAACCGTTGCCGATAAGACTGGTGGGACTGCTCATGCACTTGCTGGGATGGTTGCGCTGATGCGTGGCTGGTTGGGTGCTGGAAAGTTCTCTGGTCCGATTCGCGGACAGGGTCATACAATGGCGGCGGATGCTGCTGTTGTTGAGGTGAGGGGTGGGATGGATGATGAGGGGAGTGAGGTGTTGGAGTAAGTTGCTGATGAGGATGAGGGTTCATAAGGGCTTGCGACATGTGTGTGCCAGAGAGACCTGGCGAGGATAAGGGCTCATATCTTCGACTCTGTCCTTGACCGAATGGACCTGACTCTGAGTCCATGTTTCGCTCACCATCACGATAGCGTGCAGGCCATTCGCGTGAAAATTTTCGCTCATGAGCCATAATCTCCTGTGAAGCGCCAATGGCTCGCTGCGACGGGGATGGCGGTGATACTGAGTGGTTGTACGTGGTAGGCAACCGTGTTTCTTGCGATGCTGGATGACGGAAAAGAGATGATGAGTCGCGTATCCGGTTGTCAGATCGATAGTGCCGTTGTTCGCCGTTATAAAAAATATGATTCTTCTCTTGTTCGTTGTAGGTATGGCGCGCGCCTTGACTCGGGGATATTTTGGATGCGCGATATCCGGCAGAAGCGTATTCTGAGTGGAACTGTGTCGGATGATGTGATTCAAACCGATAGGCGTTAGCCGAATCCTGGATATTGCCTCTATAAGATGGAGGTGAGGGGTGCGGATGACTCCATGGAGCTGATTGAACAAGACCTCCGTGCGGGGATGAAAGAGCAGAGTTGCTACATGGTTGACCTGGCCGCTCAGAGCTGTCCATAAGTGTTGGGCGCCGGTCTGTACCAGGTTCCTTATAATCGCCCCGTATATTTGTCCGTGTGCTGCTTTGGTTGGGGCCATGTCTCGATCGAGAATCACTAATACTTGCTGCTGCCGTCCCTATGGTAACCGCTGCCATAGCATCGACTGTTAATGGCGTCGATGCAGTCGTAGCTGTGGATATCGAAGGAGAAGGCGACGCTGACGACGAGGATGAAGATATCGAGGGGTCGAAGGGAGATGTTCTTCGTTGCGATCGATACGACGAAGGTGCGGATTGAGGGGGTGGTGGTGGACCTTGACTGTGGACACTTGGTCGTGGCGGCCATGTCGTGGCCGTTAGAGCAGCACGTGGATCGCGCCTTGAATCGCCAGCACCCTCCGCAAAGAAGGGATTTTTTGGCGAGACGCGCGGCGACTGAGAATAGTCTGACATCCTGGGAGGATCGGCATCAGACAAGGCTGAGGGTGAGTAATATCGGTCGTATTCAGTAGTATAGCCACTCGTGTAACTGTAATGCTTTGTGGGCTGCGTTTGAGCGCGAGAACCCAATGGCATGCCACCGAGAGCTGTGGGGGAGGGGATGGGTATCGGCTCCCTGCCGTAGTCCTGCTCGTGTGAGTTGAGATGGAGCGGGCGGAGTGGTTCGTACGGTGGATGTGGATGATGCTGTGTTTGGCGGTGCTGTGGGCTATTGCGCTGCGGGTTGGGCCCCTCAACTGCAATGACATTGTGCTGCCTGTGGTCTGGGATCTCTTTTTGATAATGATGGTCTGTAGTCGCTGATAGGGATAATGGCGATGGCGGCGCTGATGACGAGGGTGGACCAGGAGCATCATTGGTTCGGGTAGTACCCAGATCATTGTCGAGCAGATGACGGATTGATGGTAGCATGGTGTATCAGTCTACTCGAAAGTTGAACTAATGACGGCCCTTGATGTTCACGTGGCGGGCGGTGTGCAGGTCCTTAGATTCTGGAATGGCGGTCCAGAATGGGATTTGACGACAGGCCAGATAAGACAATAAAAGAACAAGAAGAGGACGACCTTCTTTCCTTTACCAGCTTGTTGTGTAATCGCCCTGTGTGGATATGTTTGGTCAATCAACCCCCTGCCTTTTGCGCTGTATTGCAACTTGCGAGGATACGAAGAGCAGTCGTAGAGCGATCAATCTACGAGAAAGGAGCAAGGGACACCTGCACAATACAGATTAGTAACCATTTTGTATATGTCAAAAAGGAGAAAAGGGTCGAGGGAGGGGCAGTTCATGCCTGCCGAGAAAGAGAAACCCTCCCGCGGGCGGTGCTGGACACCGCCGCATGTGCAGCGTAGGGAGAACATGCATACACACCGCCTCCTGGATATGGTGGTTCTTCATGAGAAGCGGAGTGAACACGCAAAAAAAGAATCAGGAAACAATTCTAATATAAAGATGTAATATTTGGTGGGCGATGCGTCTAGGTGATGATCGTCCATCGGATCGTCTGCAAGATCGATCATAGTCCGCTGTCCTCACCCAATGCGTGCATAACACCTTTCCAGAAACACGTTGAACTTTAAGTACAGTCGCCACTTTCCCCTCCCATTTAATATAGCAAATGAAAAACAGTGAAGAAAGGGGCGGTCGCGCTCGGTGCACAAAAGCAGGCATTGGGCAGTAAAGCAATAGTTGGTGCAAGGGTTTGGACTAAGGGTAACCGATTGCCGCAATGGATTAGGTGAACAAAGCTTGGTATGAAGGGATACGCATCGATTCTTCTTACTTGACCGTTGCAGTTCGTTTTATCGTATGTTTCGTGATTGTCTCCTATGCGGACTCTCCTTGATAGACGTTGAGGTCTCCAGTTGCGTTCGTGCCTTCTGTCGCGGGTCCCCGCTAATACGGTACTTTCGTAAGTTTTTTATACCAGTGGTATACAAAGCTACAAAACTTGACGACAGAGAGGGAAAAGTGACTGAAGGTGTGAAAAAGGGCACTGAAATGGAACTGTATTACAAGCAGGGCATCATGACGACGGGATATGGGGCTGTGGATAGAGACTATGGGCCTCCTTGATCGTGAAAATAAGGTAGATTGGGGGATGTCGTGCGGACAAAAGTCGGGGGTCGTGAAACCGAGCCCGCAGTACTGTATGAACGAAGTGTTCCTGGGCGATTCGATCAGGGCACTGGGCTGACACTGTCCTGTGGAGAGAAGGAACGTTGGAACAAGTGTCGGCAAGTTGTGTTGACAAGCAGAGGCGGTTTGGAGGGATGAGAGGGATGAGAGGGACGAGA